TATGTGAGGCTTTTAACAACTTTTTTCTTCCTCTTTAACAAAGAACTTTTCTCAAACTTATACATCCCGGTATATTTTTCTGGTGAGAGTCTGTCCATAGTGTCTTTCTATCCCAGGGACATTACGCCACTATTAGTTTCAATCAAACCCTCATGCTGACCTGGCCCTGATGGAATTCCTCCCGCCGCCTTTTGTAATGGAGGCCCAGATATTCCCATAGTTTTATAAAATTTATTTAATCTATCCATGAGGTTCGGCATATACCCCAAACAATGGAAACATCCATAAGCATCCCTTTGCACAAGAAGGGATCTATTCATTAAGTGGGCAACTACCGTCCGGTCAACCACACTCCAATAGTTTCCAGAATTATGGAAAAGATAGTAAAATATAAGGTTATAGACCATCTTTCATTAAACAATTTACTTAATACAGGGCAACATGGATTTCTTAAAGGTCGTTTGTGTGCAACATGCCAGGTTGACTTTTTCAACACTGTCACAACAGCGTCCGATAGAGGTAGGTCTATGATTATCCTACTCTTAGATATGAAAAATACTTTTGACCGGGTGTCTCATACGAGGCTCTTATGTCTGGCTAAATCTTATGGTATCGCCGATCCATTACTCAGTTGGCTTGCGTCACATCTCTCAACACGCCAGCAGGTGGTACATGTGAATGGATCATACTCAAGGCCTAAGCCTGTCACGAGTGGAGTCATCCAAGACAGTGTTCTTGGTCCTCTCCTTTTTTGATCTATATTAATAATGTATTTAATGTCGTCCGCCATGGCACTCCTTTTCTGTTTGCAGACGACATTAAAATCGTATATTCTTTTGATCCCAGTAAGCTAAACTCAGTCGTAGATGACATAATTGAAGACTTAAGAGCGCTTAGTTGCTGGAGTAAGGAGACAGTAATGCAGTTTTCTGCGGAGAAAAGCAATGTGCTTACTTTTAAGTGCACTATTCCTCCAGTTACATTCAACCTAGATGATATAACAATACCAACTCATCTACTCGCAAGAGACCTGGGTTTACAGTTTTCATGTTCCTTAACCTTTTCTGAATACGCATTAGTTCAGATTGCCAAAGCCAGACGACTCATAGGTATGCTTCATAGGTCCTTCCGACTAAAGAGAAGCATTCTAGTTGTTTATAAGACCCACGTACGACCATTGTTAGAATATTGCTCAATAATCTATTCTAACATGCGACAAATCGATAGAGTGGCAATAGAAAAAGTCCAACGGTCCCTGACAAAAAGGCTCACCGAGAGTTCGTGTCAAGCGAGTTATAAAGAGCGCTGTGAGAGTCTTCATATCGGTCCATTATGGCTTAGACGAATGAGGCTGAAACTGATCTTCTTCCATAATCTCATGAAAAACAAGACTCTTGAATCACTCCCGCAAATTACAGATATTACTAACGCACATTATCATCTTAGAAATTGATACCACATGGTCACTACTCCCGTGTCCAGGGTAGCCATGAGGTCTAACTTTTTTCTGGTAAAGTACGCCGCTTTGTGGAATAAATTACCTCAGACCTTACGTACTATTCAACTCCCTTCAACTTTCAAGATACAAATTAGTAAATATTTCCCTGTTCGGAATCTGATACAGCTTGTGAATCCCTATATCACAGAAGATCGAGCATGCGAAACTGGTATAGGCTATTAGCTATTATAAATGCTCTGAGATTCCCTGATTGACAGTCAACTGAGACCCTGAGCCCAAATTATACTGCTCGTAACACCTCTTTTATAATGTGCTTTGATAGACAGCTGGAACGGAGCCCAGACTGTCGGTTTCTTTTCTCTATCTTGCAGATTTGTGTAAATCACGATCCGTGGCTTCAAGGGGAGTGAGAATACACAGTTGGGTTGATGTCCTGACTAGCTACAGAATGATATGTAACATCACCAAAGGAGAAAATGTTTTCTTCACAATGATAGACGGTGGCCGCTATGCTATCAAGAACAATATTGAAGAGAACAAAGAAGCTGGTAAACAATAATCGAAATGCGAATTCATTGAAATCATCTTGGACCTGACCCCGAAGCTTTATGCTTTCCCTGCAGGTCAGAACATTATGCACAACGCCATGAGTATTTTAAGTCTTCTCCTTATCAACTTCTTTTTGCTAAAACTGTAGTGAGCGGTTTATGATTAGGTAATACTGAGATTACTTTAGTGCGAGTAACACATTGCGTGTCCCCACAGCCGTTTCAGGACTTGTTTTTCATTTTTTAGTTCCTTTTTTCCTGTTTGCAAACTCACTCGAGGACTACTTCAGGTCACTTTATGAAATGTAAATAATTGTCATACGATAAAGATAGGCATTCCGTGCGATTAGCATAACGATGGACACAGATCGTTTACTCTGCTGCTATATTAGTGATGAACTGGTTTAATGACATCGACGAGGAGTAAGAGGTTCAAAAAAAAACGACTATACCAAAAACCCCTGGAAATCAGCTCTTTTTCTTCATTTTATTCGAGTGCTTTTGCACACTTACAGCCTATCTTTACAGGACGAACTGAAGAACGCCAACATACCCCCAACAGAGGAAGCTAGGTGGCGACGTCTCTTAGGGTTTGGTAAAGTAAGACGAACCCTAAATCATACGGGTAGCAGGTGCCAATGGTAGCGCTTGTCGCTGACCAGCCCTGTAAACAGGGAGTGAACCATTTTTATGGTTCACAAGGGTATTCAACTAAATGTATTCATGCTGCCCCTGATTACGACTACAATATGAAANGGTAAAGCACCATTTTAACCCTGTACGCAATACCAGCGGGCCTTTTAGCCCTACCTAGTTAAAGAATGTTGCTAATATGCCTAAGCTTACCCAAACGTGGGGTGATCGGATTCAAAGTTTGCAACCGTCCTAATTTTTTCTTCTTTCCATGCCCCCAGTTTAAACTTGATGGTGGCTAGATTTCCAGCCATCTTAAACGAAAGCTCCATAGTTTGGTTTTCTTCTTAATTTGATTGTTCGATATAATATAATTCGACATATTCCTCAAGATCTCCCATTCGACGCATTTCATTATACCAGATATCATCGATAAAGCACATAAGCTCTCGTGGCTGTTGCTCATTTTACGCTAAGTAGCATTCATTAATGAAATATTTCAATAATTATATATATATAATTCGTTGATAGATTCTACTCTGATAGAAGAGGTCAAGATATAACCAACGGTTCACCGTACCTGTATTATAGTATATTGTGTTTCTTCAGTCTAAGTAGTGAGATTTCCACACACAAATGAAAACAGCAATTTCTTCTACTCGCATAAGGCTTGTTTGTACCTGTGGATTTAGGAACACTACTACCATCCTAGATTCTCTTTCTACTGTTTTACATTCGAATCTTCTGTAATTTTCACATAGCATTCATCTTTGTGACATTTTAACGCTCGTTCTCATTCAGCGGAATTTTATCATTCCGATTTCTACGATGACCCTGAAGTTGAAACTGTGTTGCGCTACATCATCAAATGGGACATTATGACAACATGACATTCCATTGAACATATTTGCACGATTACTGATTTCAATAATCAGTTCACCTTTGTTTGAACATTTGTTAGTGCTTTAAGTGGTGGCATTGTAACTTTATCATATCTCCTTTGATCATGCATCATTCGCATGTCTCTCGTTGTAAACCGAGAAACATAGTGATCACCTTGATCACCTTAATTATATTCATTGCGACCTTAAATTTTTATTTTTATTTTTTCTTCCCTTTGGGTCCTCTCTTGTACGGAGGATTTGTTGTACATTTGATCATGCCTATGCATGCTTCACGGGGCTCCGTGAAATATACACTCATTATTATTATTATTATTATTATTATTATTATTATTATTTCAATTACCTTTCAGATAATTCTGAACCAATAGGAAAATTGTGCACGCTTCAACAGACCAAGCAGCATAATCTTGAGCGTTACAGCCAAAAGGGGTTTAATATAACCGAAAGCAAAGGTTAGTTCAACAACGAGCGTCCAATCGAAACTTTGGTCGCAATCAAACAAGAAAAAGCACTGAATCTCATTTACATGTAAGAGCAAAGCAATTGAAGTGTGTGTCCAATAGATATGCTTTATGGCAAAATAGGTGAAATCGAAGATTCAGAAGTGAAAACTCACCGACATGAAAACCACTGTCGGAAAGAATGCACGGTAGAATGGTGAAGGAAGATAAGGAAATGCAAGGTCATTGAGAGAAATTTTCAGTCTTTTTGACTGTTACAACCTGGTTACCAAGAGCAATTAATTCAGGTTTCAACTTCTCGAGTTCTATGACCTGTGTAGTTAAGGAAACAACCTCCCATTTTACCTGTTGCCGTCCTCCATTGCATCTCATTGTTTAATCGCACCAAGGCCACCTCTTTCATCAGTGCGTATTTGCTTTTGCTTTACTGTGGTAGCTGACTTGGGGCAGTCATCTTGATTGTCTAACTAACCACTATCATTTCCCCCTTTTCCTCACCTGAAGGTTGAGGAGCTGAATAGACCAATCAGAACCGACCGAACCACCTACGAAAGACCTAAAGAACTGTGATTGGCTGCAGTGTCTTCCCTAGCACCTCCCCCTATAGGTAACCATTTGCAGTTTTATATTACGTGTTTCCACTTCTGTTTTTTGCTGAGTGCTGTGATATCGNGTCGTTCCTCGTTGCAGCTAGTTGCGTGTTATAAGTCTGGCCCCCACAGCCGGGACCGAAAACGACTAACATTCTACACAAAGATGTCTGAATTTTCCTGTCCCACGATTGTTCGGTCCGTTCGTGGAAGTGGAGATACAGATGGAGACCGCATCGCCTCATGAACGCATCCCACCGCTCATGGCCTCGGAGAAATTCGTACCTGGAGAAGATTTTGACGTTTTGGAATCGCAGGTATGACGCTATGTTCGCTGGCTTCCGTCATCACATCGGGCAGGTGAAGTGATTTATCTGCTAACGAGGGAGGCTTACAAGTCAGTAATGGACTTCGACCTCCCTAACGATGTGGAAAGGCTGTTTGTAACCCTGAGGCGGAGACTGGCGGGACCAAAAATGGCATTCGAATATCGGGAGGAGTTCTGCATGCGACAGCAACGACCTGAGGAAAGCCTGATGGGCTATATTGGGTCCGTGCGGCGCCTGACTCGGTTGGCAAACCTCATGTGTACAGCTGCGAAACGCAATTCACACATTCTCTATCGATTTCTGGCTGAGCTCCGAAAACCCAGAGACAAAGTTGAACTACATTTACGGCCACCAAAAGATCTTGCCGCCGCAGAGTCAATGGCCGAGATCCTGGATCAGAACGGGTACCAGGTAAGGCGACCTCAAGGCGTTTTTGCTGTAGGTTTCAGACAGGAAGGGAGAGCACCAACCAGAGAAAATGGTGAAAGAAAACCCCAATGGCACCCACGTGCTGCACCTGTCGTCAAACTGGGCATACCTCGCGATTTTGTGTGGGGAGGAGGACCGAGTAAGTCCATACCAACAGTTGACAATGCCAATAATTTCACTGCTATCAGTTTGGACATGGGGTTACCCTTTGTTGAGGTAAATGTGGAGGGAAAAACAGTTAATTGATTGTTAGATTCCGGGTAGGTCCGCAGTTTGGTAAGTAACAAGGAGGCTGCTGGAAGTCCAAGGCCACCCACTCGAAGGAAACTCCCTTGGTCGCGGTAGATGGTTCACCGCTGACTGTACACGGGAAAGCGGATTTCACGGCAAACAGAAAGTTAATCGCCAATTCACGGTTGTAGAGAACCTCCCGGTTGCCATCGTGTTGGGGGACGACTTTCTACGACGGACCAAGAGCATCATTATTCTGGGTACACAACGGGTCTCAATAGGCGGTTCCTGGGTGAACTTTAAGATGAAACAGAAAAATGTGAGTTCACACATAAACGTGCAAGCAGAGTCTCCAAAGGCTGCGGGGTTGGAAAACTTGGTAGCATCCTCTTCTGAAGGATTTCCTGGGGGGCCCAAACTCAGTTCGTAAACTCGTGCAAGAGTACCACTTAGTCTTTGCATGGGAAGGGGAACCACTCGGTAGGACTAAGTTGGTTCACCACGACATAGACACAGGAGAAACAAGACTAATCCGTCAGGCACCACGACGCGTACCCATCCACCGGCAACAGAATTGAACAACCTAATAGAAGAGATGCTCCAGCGAAACATCATCAGACCGTCTAAATCCCCTTGGGCTTCGCCAGTGGTCCTGGTTAAGAAGAAGGACGGGTCGTTATGCATGTGCATGGACTATCGGAAGCTGAATGCAGTCACACGTAAGGACTCGTTTCCACCGTCTCCCATTGATGATACGCTGAACGCACTGTCAGGTTCTAAATGGTTTTCTACTTNATTGGCAGGTCGAGGTTGACCCCAAAGATCGGGAAAAGACGGCGTTTGCGATCCCTACTGATTTATACGAGTTTAATACCATGCCATTCCGATTAACAAACGCACCCGCGACGTTTCAAAGACTAATGCAGTCTTAACCAGCCTGTCACTAGGGGAATGTGTATTTTACTTAGACTATATTGTTATCATCGACGGCTCGATAGAAGACCACCTACGACGTTTGAGGGACGTATTCGGGCGCCTACGGAAGGTAGGGTTACGACTAAACTAAAAAGTGCTTATTTCTCAAACAGAAGGTGAAATAATTGAGATACGTCATCTCGCCACAAGGAGTACGTAGAGACCCCGGCAAGGTCGAACATGTGCAGCATTNNTGGCTGACACCAAAAAACTTGGAGGAGATGGGAAGTTTTCTCGGGCTGGCAGCGTACTACCGAAGATTCTTCCCTCAGTTCTCTACGACTAGTGCCCCCATGACCGAGCTATTGAAGAAGGGGCCGAAGTTCCACTGGAGTGACAATTGTCCAAAAGCATTTGGTTGACTGAAGGAATATCTATCCTTGCACATCCAGATACCAGTTCGGCGGCCGGTCAATTCGTGCTGGATACAGACGCATGTGATGTTGGTATTGAAGGAGTGTTGTCACAAATGTCCCCAGATATAACCGAAAGAGTTGTCGATTACGGTAGTCGAACGCTAAATGAGAGTGAGCACAACTACTGTACGACTCGTAAGGAGATGCTGACTGTCGTTCATTTCGTACAGCACTTTCGTCACTTTATGCTGGGGCGAAAGTTCCTGGTTAAAATCGACCACTCGTCACTACAATGGTTGCAGAATTTCAAAGCGCCAGAAGGCTAAGTGGCGAGGTGGCAAGAGACTCTG